GGGATCATGACCTGAGCCGAAGGCAGACGCTTAACAACTGAGCCACCCAGTCTACAATTGTGAATCAATTTTAAACTAAAAACAAAAAAAAAGGAAGTTAGAATAGGGATTATTTCTTTGATAGTGCTGAGAAATCTGCTATGCTAAAAAAAATTGTCACAATATGATGCCCTTCCCCCCACCCCCCACCCATCCCTTTTTGGTCATGTTGTCCTGGGTGAATGACTGGCCAGATCAGGCTACCATAAAAACCCAAGAGAAATTCTACACCCTGATTCTGCACTTCCATTTTTCAGTTTCCATACTCTGAAAAAAAACCACTCACGCCTATCACCCCAAAAGACAATCACACAGAGTACATTCTAGGCTGGGGGGGCTGGGGTCGCTGGTATAATTCCTCTACTTCCTAGCTCCAGCCAGGGGCCCAGGCAGGGGAGGGATGGAGCATGAACAGTCACCAGCCCCACGAGGGCACTGGCCGCCTTGCTGCCCTGTGCCACCCGCCCTGACGATACGCTCTCTTCCCCTGAAATTAAACTACTGCCTTGAGAGAGAAGCTCCAGACGGTAGGAGGCTGCCGGCAGCCGGCCAGGAGTTCAGTGATCTGAACCTCCTCAGATGCTCCCCCTGCGGCCACGGCCTCCGGCCCGCTCCGGCTCTGCAGACCGCGGAACCCCGGCCTTTCCTCCATCCACCTCCCGGGCCCGGGGACATGTGCTTTGGGTTCCTGACCTTAGTTCTTCCCAAGGTCTCCTTGGAGACAGACCTACGTTACTACAGTCCGCTTTATTATATTTGCTTTTAGCTGAACTGGGGCTTGCTCCGCCGGGGTGTGGCGCTGGAGGGTGAGCCCGCGGGGTGGGCAGTGTGGTGGCGTTTGAGGCTGGCCGGGCGCGCACTGGCAGGAAGGCGCGGGTACCTGGCGGGGGATGCGTCCATGGTACCAGGCGTGGCTTCGCAGGTCCTCGCCGCTCAGCAGCAACTCCTCCTCCAGCTCCTTCTTCAGCCGCTCGGGGGTCCTGTCCATAATGTGCCTCTCCTTGGAGAACTGCAACACAGGATCACCGGTGACGTCCCCCCGCCCTGCCCGGGACGGCCAGGCCCGCCAGCTGGAAAGGCCCGCCCGCCTCGCGGTTAGCTGCTTGGCTAATCAAGCCAGGATATGCCAAAAGCCTCGTGCAGGTAGGGAAGCCTGGATAATGATTACAATTAGCTGTGACCTTTCCCTTCTCCGGCTGCAAGTATGTAGTAACATTTTCAGCTACACACGGGGACTATGAGAGGAGACGGGCGAGCTGTTCCTGTTATCAGTGGGCCCCGAGAGCCGCTGAAGACAAGGGGCGCTGGCTAGGGGGCGCCACAGAGAGATGAGCGGGGAGGGAGGCACAACTCAGCCAGGGGACCTTCCTCCTTCTCCCCGGGGACTGTCCGCACACGGAGCCAGGAAGGACAGCCATCCTCGGATGGCCCATGGTCCGGAGCAGGAAGGACAGCCGTCCAAAGCGCAGTCCCCAGGCTGATGACGGTAATGGCCCCGAATTCTTTGCTACTGGCAAACTGCAATCAGGAACTGAGTTCACCTTTAGAAACATTTAGAGCAAGCGGACAGAAGCATTTTGTCTCTTGAATCTAACAACACAAGTCTGACTCTGTGTATTTTGTCTTTTTAATTTCATTTTTCTGATATTTCATTTTTATGACAGATTAGAACTTGAAACTTGAAAAACTGGTGTCTCGCCTCTGAGGGTTTGAGAATCGCGGATATAGGTCCCTGCACGGTGGCCGGGGCGGGAGTCCGGGAGGGCCACACTGGCTCCAGGTTTCATTTAGAATCCACGCCCACTTTCATGGGAGCTGAACTTGGACACCTGCCTGGTTCCCAGCAAAAACCAGGCTCACGGATCACCGGCTGAAGGTCATGGGAGCAGGAAAACGCTGGGTCCTTGTGTTTTCCCAAGTTCCCCAACTTGGCCTCAAAAGCCTCTAGGAATCACCGGATTCTCATCCCACTGCTCTGCACCTCAGCCAGGGAAGAGGCTGCACCCGAGGGAAAGGAAACAGACTTGGGATTTTTACAGCCCTCAAGTCTCTGTGGGCACACTGGCCCAGGAGGGCGCCGGCTGCAGAGGATTCAGGGCCGCTCAGGGTGGGGCTCTGGTTTCCCAACTGCTCACTTCTCCCGCTCCGCTTTCCCACCACCCTGCCCCACAGAGTGGACTCCTGCACCGCAGAGATGCCCACGTGGGCCATGCCAGCTGCCCACAGGCGTCCGCAGCATCCCACATCCATCAATTATGCCCAGTCACATCTGAACACAGCTCATTGGGAAGACTTGAGTCCAGAATGCAGATTGTCAACCAGGCCGCATTCACTGATAGTTTATTATCTGTCTTGCCTCCCACTGGATTTTAAGTTTCACGAGAGCAGAAACCCACCTGCCTTCCTACCGCCCTGCAGCAATGCCTGAACGTATTAGGCCCTCCTCGGTCACTGAATGAACCAATACCCCAAGATGAAGTCTCTCTAGCCTTTTCTTCGTTACAGAGCTTCTCCTCTTCAATCTCAAACTATTCGAAGCCCCGTGTCAGCTGAGCATGTTGCCACACAACTAAAGGATGTCATTCCCCAATTTTCCTTGGCCAAGGAAAGGCGCACTGCCGCTTAGCGGGACTTCTAAGCTGAGATGTGACGGCTGGAACTGCGGTGCCATCTTGGACACGAGGAGGGAGCTGCATCCTCCAAATGGGGCAGCAGAGGCCCCAACAGGCCCAGATCCCTCACAACGGTCCCAGATTGCCCACCTCCAGATATTTCGTGTGATCTTCTGTCCTGTTTGAGCCCATATTTTGGTTGTTCCTGTTACTGGCAGCTGAACTAAAATCCTAACCCATACTATGACCCTAGCTTCTATTTGGCCACCCTGACAGTCTTTACGCAGAGCCTGAATCCCTTGTACTGTGCCCTGGGCCCACTTCTTCTTGGCCCGAGCTCTGAAAATGTAGTCATCAGGAGTCATACCCCCTGTGTAACCCTCCACTCAAACTGTATTCACCCAGACCCAAAAAGCTGTTCCCTTATTTCTCTTTACAGCCAGTCTCCTTCCTCCCTGATGCCCAATACCCAGGCCACTTCCCACCATCACCCCCTCTCTCTTCTTCTCAGCATCCTTCACAAATAGCAAGATTTCTTAGCATTTTATAAACAACAATCCTTCATTCCAGATTTTGAAATAATACCGCTTTACACTTATTACCAGAAATATAAAATCTGCTATCTTGTTACTTTTGCCCTACTTCCTTAGAGGAAAATCCACAATTATTGTTCTCCCCCCACTGTGGACTGTGGAGATGGGGCATGATAGGGCACTGCAGGAAAGTACCAAGGGAGGAGAGACAAGGGGGGTCAGAAAGATTGACCCTCCCTTGAGATGGAAACTCAGACTTCAAAAACTGTGCCCTTAAGCTCTTGCATAATTTGTGCAAAGTCAGGAGGTTACACAATTGACTAGATTTATAATTTGGGGGAGAGGGGAGAAGGAGGAAGAGAGGGAGGGAGGGAGACAGATCCAGAGCAAGCAAGCAATTGCAAGCAAGGGCTCTTCATTTCAAACCAGTGAGAGCGGATTCTACTATATTAAAAAGAGCCAGGCTGGCCTCCGGAAGCCTCCACCTCAGCAGATGACGTGGGCAACATCTCTCAAACAGCTGAACAAGGCAATTCAAAAGTCACCCACATAGGGTCGCCCTCATGATTACGTTAGTAGTTATTTTGGGGGTGAATGCCTTCTAGAACTTTCACATACTCTTTAAATCACACACATTAATGCATCTTCTAATTATTTTTCCGAAGTGCCTATATTTTGTGAGCCTTGCCCTTGCCAACTACGATTGTGCCACTATATATAAGGACTTTGATGGAAGGACCTCAACTTCAGGGTGGGTGAGGGGTGACCATGTAGGAAAATTTGGCAAAATGCATCCATTTGCATCTTTGAGAGCACTGTGATGGACATCTGTGCTCCCGGGGGACCAAGCCCGACATTCCTGCTTCACAGGATAGGTCACATGGGACTGTGATGTCGGCAGAATTCTGTCGGCTTGCCCCCAACAACCAGAACTTCTGCTAACAGTGCGCCCCTCCACTTAACTGCGGCCATCTGGGCCGAAGATGAATTTCCCCCTGAAATGCAGCCATTTCAGGCACGGCCTAGGCTAGTTCTGGGGTCTTTGGGGCCGCAAAAGAAATTCTAGCAATTTGGGGTAACACAGCGGTGCCACTGCCCTTGGCAATGGCTTTATCTCTTCGGTGTCCTCACCGGCGTCCTTTGAAGTTCTGACTGATTCCACTAATGCCCTAAGAAGCCTCCTGGCCTTCCTGAGATTACCTTCTGAGGAAAGAGCAGAAGAGAGAAGTCCCTACTCCCACAGTTACATGCATCATTATCTCATGCCCGGCCCAGAAGTATGCGTGAGACCAGCCGAAGAGGCAGCACAGGTCCCCGCCCTCCGGCGCCCTCCCATCTCGGGAGAGTAAAGAGCACACAACCCCTTCATACCAGTCTGTCCCCGCTCCTAGAGGCTCATCTCCCAGCTCATCTTTCCCAACGCTTTCCCATTTGTTTCTGCAGACATCTTATGAACGCAGTGTGCCTCCAAGACTGGACCCGAGTCATTCTCAGTCTTCTGCGAGCGCGGGCCAGCGGGCCTCTGTGACAGAGGGCACTGTGGCACCCAGAGCCAGTACCATATAGCTGGGCTCTCTCAGCAAGTTTACACTGAATGGAAAGCAGTCCTCACTGGCCCTTTGCATTTTATGTTCTTCAACCACCAGAGAGACAGATAGCCAGAAAACCCATGAATAATTGCTATCTCACCCAGATGCCATAAATGTTACTAACAAGCACATTATAGTACACACCTTCTCCTCCATGCTCAAGTTCTCTAACTGCTCTCCCCTGAACTGGAACTTCATGCCTAGAAGGCAAGTCTGATTCTGTGTTACCCGAGCTCCTTATGTTGAGGAGAGGAGGTGGCAGTGGGTGGGCTGGAGGCAGAGTCCAGTTTCTCTAGCCCCCAGCGCAGGCTCCGGATCCAGCCATGCTGAGCTCCCCCACCCCCCACAGTAGCTGGGGTGCACCCTCCAGAGAAAGCGGAGCTGCTAGGCTTTAGATCAAGAACATTCTGCCCGTGAGCTCTGCCAGGTTCATTCGAGTGACCAGATCCACCCACGGCCCCCAGGAGAGAAAGATGTGGGCGGGACCCACGTCTCCTGCTCCGAGGCTTTGCCTGAATTGGATCTACCAGAAATTTGAGAGTTCTCTCTGGGGGAGGGGAGGGGTGCAAGAAAAGGGGCTATGGACATAAATTAAGTAATCAGAATACCTTGAGCAGGAAAGAGAGAGAGGGAGGTAACTACTATAACATGGTTTCCCACTCACTTGGCTCCACTTCCAAAATTTCATCTTGTCCCAGTCATTGGTTCTGGGGGCTGAGATGAGGGAGGTGAGTTGATAACTAGGGCAAATGCAGGGGGTGGATGAGGCCCACACCTGTCCTACCAAACTGAAGTTTAGTTAGAAAATTCATTCGTTACCGGAATTGTTGCTTTTCAGGGAAATCTGAGTCCAGCTACCTCCTTCCTGCTGCCAGCCTCTTAATAACCCGGACGCCACAGCACAGTACGTAAGCACGGCCAGCCCTCTCCCTCCATCCACGGGCCACGTGCCACTGACTGGCTGTGTGGCTTTGGGTAAATGACTTTACCTCTCCACAGAGCCTCAGGCTCCTGGTCTGCAAAATGGGGATGATAGTACGTGACGAGATGTTAATCAGGATGGAATGGGTCCATTTTGGGAAAGCACTCACAACATCCCTGGGACACAGCACGGTTAACTGTTATCAGAGACATACCAGAATGCTACCCATCTGGTTACAGAAAAGAAACGCTTCACCCCAGAGGTGCTTTCAGTCTGATGCACAGATGCGTAGGGGGTGGGTGCCTGGGAGGGAAGCAGTTAAGGAAACCAGCCGCGCGTCCACGAGCTGCCTC